CTGATTCTGAGATGTCTTCTCTTGACCCCAGTTGTAGTAAGAGAGGAAGACAAACTGAGGGGAAAATAATCAAGGCTGTCAGTGTTAAAGTAACTGTAGATGTTGCAAAGTGGGTAGTTCTGGGTGGCTGTAAAAACCTGTAAGAACAGGAAACCAGTAGACCGTGACTGTTGTGAACTCATCGGGGGTCAGCTCTGCAATAGGTGGCAGAGGCTTAAACACAGATTCCGAAGTGAGCCTGAGCTCAGGAGGTTTCTTACTGGCCTGTAGCTTTAATTCTTTGGGTGGAAAGATTGTGTTTTTCTTTTCAGAGCTGTTTTAGGTTCTTTCATTCTCCTCAAGCAATATAGCTGATGGTGACCACCACCCTCATCTTCCACCCTCCCTATTCACAGGGTAGGATGGTAAATGCTGTGTCTGCCACTCAGTAGGTTGGTTGTAGGGTTTTCAAGAGTCTGATGATAAGGATTGCCTGTTAGGCAAATGGTGTAAATTGCCAGGTTTTGGAGAGAGATGTTAACAGGGAGAGTGTAAACCAATGCAGTAAGTAATGAAATACTGGGCAGAAATACAGAGCTAGGTAATTATGAGCATGTTTTTTAGAAATTCTCAAGTCACTTGTCCAATATTGTTTTAGAGGTCTGAATGTGGTCTCTCAGCTTTGTGCTTTTAAGAGTTTTCTGTGGTTGACTGGGTCATTTTATGAATATAGTTGAGAGTGAAGCAAGAAGTGTCCTACTGTTGACACTCAGTCCTGTTCTGAGTTCAGACATGCATTTTCTAGATGCTCAGGAGTGTTCTGCATGCTGAAAAAAGAAACTTTTATGTATTTGGCATCCAGCAATTCTGTATGTTCAAGAATTTCAGTGGCAAACTTTTAGATTGGAAAAGCTCAATAATAAGTTCCTAATCAGAAGATGGCAGAATTCAGCTGTGCCAAAGAGTGATTTCAAAGCAGTCAATTATGTTTAAAAAAGGACATCTTAACTGAAATGGGATAATTCACTTGTATCTGTAAAAATGAGCGTTGACCCTATGTTGAAAGAGGGGCAGTAGTTCTTAGAATTTTTTTTGTGACAAAAATTGTCTCACCTTGGAATGACCAGTCTTGGTTGAAAAGTGAAGGTGCAAATGACATTGCAGCATTTAGTATTGCTAAATAGTTTTGTGTGGTGTTTGGTTTTAATTTGTTCTTTAAATGCTACTGAAGTGATGCATGACACAAGTGACTTTCTTTTCACTTTTCAGTAAACCAGAGAATATCATCCTATAATTAGAATCCTAGCAGTGCTGAAATATAGCCTGTGTTTCGGACAGGGACTTGTGTAAAATTTTTGTTGCTCAGCAGATTCACTTGTTAGTTTTCTCTTAATCTAGAACAGAGTTTGTAATTTGAGGGGCTTGCACTCATTTCCCATAGTTATAAACTTCATTTAAGAGAGAAGTTGCTTGTAGTTCCATAATACACTTTTTAGATAAGATATTCTATTTCTACATCGTAGAACTCAGGGTCAATGTCTGCTCACTGGTGACTTGCTCGGAGTAGGAAGTATGGTAGTATTCAAATTTATAGTTCATGTTCTACTGCTTTAAAACTAGTAGATTTATTTAGTTTTTCAAAAATATTGTTTTCATAATTTGGTTTCTAGCCTCTTTTTGTATGCATAATTCTTAAGGATATGCTTGATTCATGTGGGCTCTGGCAAAAAAGAATGTTCTCTTGAATCCCTTTTTTCTGTTTTTCTGCCTGTTCCTTCAATCTTTTCTAGCAGAGCTTGAGTGTTTGTGGAGTAGGTATTTAATCTAGTTGTAAAGAGGGCTGAAATAAACTTTCACAGGTAACTAACTGTAAGTTGAGCACTTGTTGATGATTTAACAACAGTTTCTAGTTGTCTAACTTTCATAAGGAAGAAAGAGACATTTAGCTCCTGTATAAGGGATCCCTCCATGATTCATTGTTACTCATTTTCAGCACAACGCTGAGAATTTTAGCATTTCATCTTCAAGAAGTTAAGTAGAAGCAGAATACAGTTACCGTAGAAGGAAAGGCTGGATCCCTGGAAGAGGTTGCTGAACCCACAAGTAGGATTGGGCACTTCAGACACTTAAGAGGACTGTAGTGTCGTCTTTGTTCTTCTGGAACAGTAGTGTGACCTTCCTTAGAATGAAGGCCTTACCTTCTTATCGTGTAAACATGAAATCTGCTTCAGCAGTCCCTGCTGTTTCTGTGTACTTGTTTTTAATTGTAACATGAGCCTGGCACATTAAAGCCATCATGTCAACTGTACTTTGGGAAGTTGCTATGCTTTATTGAAGAATGGAAGAATTAGAAAAGAAAACAGTTTGCAAACACCAACACTCTTAAGGAAAAGTGGCAGGTTATCATGGAGCAAAGACTCCTTTCTTGCATTGTAAGAACTTTTCCCTGTGTTAAATGGAGGTGCTAGAATTTCTCTGGGCAAGTTTCTTTATAAGCAGTGATGTTAGTGGAGCCTGGTTTCCTGTGCCTCCCAGTCTTCCTTCTCCCCTGACACAGGGCTTTATCAGGTATGAATGAGTTGAATACCTTCAGATGTCTTCTCTTTTCTCAGTGCTTCTCACCTCTGTTCTGTTGTCTCTGACCGGTGAACGGGGCTGCGCACGCTCTGACTAGCTAGTTAGGAGCAAGAACAAAGGCTTGAGCTGTACAGCTTTGTGCTGTACTTGCATATGGAATGTTTTGGTCACTTAATAGCAGTAAGGCTTTTTTTTCCTCTTTCTTTCCTTTTTCAGTCTTATGTTTCTTCTCTGGTTTTGATTTGGTCATTTTTTTAACTGTTGATGTTTCAGAAACTTAGTAGTGGTACCTTAAAAAAAAAAGGGAAACATATATTTCAGCTCTCCTGTTCAATGGGATATGCTCATGTGGGTATGACTATATTTTTTAACAGCTGCACTGAAGAAGTTCTCCCTTTTATTTTCACAGTATAAACACTTAGGATTGTATTTAATATTCTTTTAATCTTTTTATTTTATCCATATCCCCTGTATAATTGAATGCAGTAGTCACTTTTTTAGGAAAGGAATAGATTACAAGAAGTTCTCAGTTTCTTGAATCTTGCATAATATGATGCTGTTGACTTAAGTACTTGAAATATGTTTTAACCTTTAAAATCGGGATATGTACTGCTTGACCAAAAAAAAAAAACCCATAAAATTTCATTTTATTTAAATGTGACACATTACAAAACTGTTTCAGTGTATGTGTGTGTGTGTGTTTTCCTATTTGGGAAGGTCATTCCCACGTTCAAGAGCTAATTATGCCTTTCTGTTAAAAAGTCATTAATGATACCTGGGAGAAGGTGAATCTAGGAGGAAGTAGTATTTGGGGTAGGAGGTTATATTGTGTTATTGTGAACATCTTTTTTAACATAATGGGACACGGTTTAGTGGTGGACTTTGTAGTGTTAGGATAATGGTTGGACTTGATGATCTTAAAGGTCTTTTCCACCCAAAATGATTCTGTGATACTATAATTACAGAATATTACTGAAATATGCTTAGTCTTAATAGTCTTAAATTTATGTTGTTAGACTGCAGTCATATCCTTCAGTTTGTACTGAAATTTTTTTGGGGGTGGGGGAGGAATTGTACTCTTAAATTGTGAAAGACTTAGCCTAAGTGACTAGATTTTTAAGTGATTTTTGTCCATCTAAGTTGCATGTAAACTTTTAACACATATTGCATGTTGGTAGTGTAAAGGATGATGAGTCTTCTCCTAGGTTTTTTTCTACTCTGGGCATCTAAATAAATCACAGTTTAGAGCACCAAAATTAGAAGCTGGCTTTACAAGCAGTTCCAGTGGTAAGTGGCACCTTACAGGCGTGATTCAGCATGTATCAGTAAGGCGTTTAAAAATTCAAGGTTTGAAGTCTTCACAGACAGATGAGTGCAAAGGTATATTCTTAAGGAGAGAAAGTTTTGTGTACCTTGTCATTATGTCTATAATTTTTCTTAATTCACTTAAACTTAAGAACTTAAGTTAGGGAAATGAATATGCAAGACGGGCATTGAAGGGTGATAAAATTTAGGCACATCATTTGTCCATGGTACTTGCAGGAAGTGAACCTGCACATAAAGTACATATTGTTCTTACTGTCTTAATCTGTTTAGTGTTTGTAGTTTTTCAAAGCAGAGGTTGTCATCTTTTGTTGTTTGGAAAATACATACTGTGTAGAAATGTTCGTAAATCTTAAGAAGCAAACACTTGAAAAATCAAAATCTTGGTGTTACTGCAATGAATCATTATTTTAAATTCTTCATTTTTGGATAGTGCTTAGTGCAGTGTTCTTATGAGAACATAAAGGCTGTTTCTATTATAGTCTGATGTGGCCTGTTAGCCAAAGGGCAAGATGAATCAACCAGAATTTTTAGTGGGGAAGAGGGATGCAGGAATGGCAATTTGAGAAATTTGTTGCTAGGTAGAGCTAATATTCTACTGAACAGAGCTGTTCAGTTTTACAGGTTAGTCTTGGTCTTAGATGTTGAATAAAATGCAAGCTTTTTTTCAGTTGCTTTTGTTTCTCTAGTTACTGAATGAAAGGGCATGTGAAATTCATTTCGCTTTGTATGTCCCTCTGCACCAGTTCTTTAGAAATTACAGGGCATCAGGGAGCATGGTAAATGAGCTACATGATTAAATTTTTAAATCTTACAACAGTTTTTTCCAGGATGAAAATCCTGAAATTTCAAATTATTTCTTTGTTATAGGTTTTCTTTAAAATATTGCTTGATTTACATTTGTGAGATTAATAATAAATATACCTTCAGGTTGACATTTCATAAAACAAAATTATCATCTTAAGGAATGCATTACCCACAACAGTGTACTTATTGTGGCAGTGTTACTTTTATTAAACCATTTGTCATTTTAATGTTGTGTATTCTGACTCTTAAGGTTTTCTATCTTTTTCTTCAAAGGAAATGCAACAAAACAAATTCAACATTCGTTTTTCTTTCCTACAGCATTATCTGCATACCAGAGGTACTACAGTTTACAATCTGACTACTGGAAGGTCTGTATATGTTGCCTTTTTTTTTTTTTTTTTTAATGTATTGTTGTAAATTATTGAATTTCTGAAATACATGAATTTCAATGTAAGTTTGGAGCGTCTACCTGCAATTACTTTTTGGCATATTCATTGGATCTTAATAGAAATGTTCACCTATATGTATAATTTATTGTAAATCTTAAGTGGAAATAAATCTTCACCCTGTTTGTTTAAATGTCAGATCAATTCATTTGACATTTTTTTAGATTTTTAAAATTATTATTATTGCTGTCCATTCAGATTTTCTTATGTAAGCATAGATATTTGGATACGTATGAGTATTGAGGATTATAACCACTTGAAAGCTGCTGCGCAGGCGTTGGACTTGTACTAGGAAAAATGTTCTCAGGTTGCTTTTTATTTCCACAGATGCCAAATTGTTTAAAGTCCCTTTCAGTATTTTAAATAACATTCTTATGTAAGATAGAAAAAATCCTGTTAGTATAGCTGTCTTATCTAGAAGTCCATGTAGATGTATCAGGATTTTAAATTAATAAAATTAAAAAAATTCTTATAGGATATTGTCAAAAATAGTTAACGTTGTTATATTGTCTCATGAAATCGTTTGAAGCTTGTGACTGAGACAGAGGTGCAGGAAAACATGTAACATAGTAGATAACTTGTGTCATCTTAAGCAGCTGTTTTCCTTAAAAGTTGTGCGTATTTCAAATAAGGAGGGCTCAGCTGTGGGCAGGCACCACTGGCATCAGCGAAACAATGTTTTCTGAGTTCCTTGTTTTTTATAGGGACTATAAGTACATTCTGAAAAATCCCATGACCACTTCTCCCATTTGCGGGTGTGGAAAGGGAGAAAGGCAGGGTAAATCAAGGGTGGAAGAGTGAACCAAAATAAGTGTGTTCTGGCATATGGAAGGAGAGGTCCAATCAGAGGGCCCTAGGAAAATTGTTCACGCTGTCTTGTAAAGCCCCTGCTCCACTAGAAATTGTATGAGTGCCATTTTTTCACAAGCCGTTTTGGAGTTGGAAGTAGTTTTTTCAGAAATAACCCCTGTAGTTTAAAAATTACAACATTAAAAGCATTAAATCTATTCTTTCTTCTTACATGCTCTTGGAGGCTTAAAGATTGCTGTAATGTGGTGTTGAAATTGATCAAATAAGTAAACATCTATTGTATGGTTTCTGTTGTTTGTGCTCTTTCTGTGTTAAGCATTTCAGAATAGTTTGTGACTTGAATTAGTTTTTTCAGGCTTTTGTTCTAATGGCTCATTATTAGAAGAAGTGATAGATGATTAGTAAATTATTTTCCCTGTATTTTCAGAGAGTTCAGGGTGAAATGTAAATGGTTGTATGTCTTTCCATAGGCGTAGAGTGTTTCAGCATGGCTCAGAATATTATCTGCAATTAAAATAAATGCAAACTCTGTTTTGCAGTTCCATTTCAAGAGCATGGATGGCAGTAAAATGTGTGATCTATGCTTGACTTACTGAAAGCAATTTCTGTGTGTATGCAAAGTGCTGATATTCTAATACACCTGTTTCTTGTGTATATCTCAAGAGGTTTACCATGCAGAGATTGTTTTAAAGAACTAGAGTTGCAAGCATGAGAGCGTTTTTTTGAGCTGATATAAGACATTTTGGGGGGGGGGTTTGACGTTTTGTGGGATTTTTTTTCTTTGTAAAACCCAATAATTTTTCAACAGGTTGGCCTTACCTGGGAAGGGTACTGTGCTACTTGATCTCATTACAAGCTTCCTTATAAATGCATAGTCCAAAGTGGATTTTTTCTGATAATAATGTTGGACGTTTTTTTTCTTGGTTTTTATATGTATGAAGAAGAACCTGAAAGAATCCAAAAACATTTTTCAGTTAAAAACTTTTTTGCTGAAACTGGTAAAAATCACAGATGAATCATATTTCATCTTACTAATGGATGAGAAAGCTAGTCTGGAGTTGACAGTGGGAAGCTGCCTGGATTTGGTCTAGGGAAGGGTCTTTCCCCCTGACCCTACTTGAGAGGATTTCTTGTTACCCTGAATGCCTTGTATCTGTGAGAAACTGTTTAGTCAAGAATAGTTAAGTTTGTGGCGTATTTTTGGTCACCCTTATATGCTGTTTTGTTACAATTTGTGATCAACTTTTTTCCAAAGAGATACAGATGACTAAAAAACCAAACCAGCAGTCACATTTCCTTTTTTTACTGTTGTGTTTTTATTAAGAATATCTTTTATTTTTTTAGTTCTTACAAGGTTAGATGTCATCAATTAAGTTGTTGGAATTTGTGATGGTAAAGAAAGGAAGAGAGAGAAGGGTGTGAAGAAAGGGTGGTATTTATGAGCTGTGAGCAGAGCTGTGTGAGAGAACTGAGAAATTGATGGAGAGTGCTGAATCACATGAAGGTTATTATATAAGGCAGGTTTGAAAACAGACAGGAACAGTCTTACAAACTTAGGCAGCATATCTGAAATTACTTACTGTGGTGCAGGGCAAATTTACACGGTTGAAGTAAGTGTCCTGTATGTTCTTTGTTTTATAAATAGAAAACTTCTAGAAGGATTGTGAGAAGTATTAGGTTGCTTTGGGTGTAGTTTGGCCTCCTTACATAGTACTTTTAGTCTCTGCTACTTAGGGTTTTTCCTGTTGTGTGGGGTTGGTAATTGAGCATTATTTTCATGCATTGTTCATTATATGATATTCGTCCTACCAATTAATCTTTTTTTTCCCCTTTCACAAAGAAAAGCATTTTACTTTTTTTTTTTTTCCCCCATAGATTTTTCTGATGGTCTGATTTTTTTAACAGGTTGTTTTCTATCAGAATTCGATGCATGGCATTTTGTTGATCCTGTGGCAAAAAGAGAAAGAAAAGACAGTTCAGAAAATACATTCTAAGTATATGTTATAGTGACAGAAGTGAGGGTGAAAGGTTAGGAAGATGCTGTATTTTGCCATTTACCAGATCAATACTCTCCCCATTCTGATGAGATACACTTCTTTGAAAGGAAGTAATAATTCCTGTATGGATAGTTTTGAAAGAGCTGGGTTGCACTATGCTGCATATTCCTAAACAGACCACTTTTTGCAGTAACATCTTTGAGCACCCACAGATCAACGTAAAATGTCTTGCAAAATTACTAAGTTTCTGCAATTTTTGTTCTACGCAGGCACTGTGGTACTTTAACTCTTCATTTAAAAAAAATATTTGACTTGAAATCTTATGAAGTAAATATCTCAACTTGCATAAAAGCTGAGATAACTTAATAGAGCTCTTGCATTCAAGTAGTTTTCTCAATGTTTCTTCTTCTTATGTGCCTATGCTAAAATAAATCTCCCTTCTGTGCAATGTACTTCATTCTGATTTCTTTTTAAAACTCCCCTGTGTCAACATGTTGGGGGAGGTGAGGAGGACTGTGGGGGATGAACGGATAGGAAGGGCAGTTCAGGAGAGGGAGACAACTAGAACTGCAGTTTGTAGGTTTTGATGCTGCTGAGAAAATAAAGATATCAAGTCTAAGTGTCTACCACGGTTATCAGTTTTGACATATTCTGAGGAGGCAGGATTAGAAGCTCAGCAAGGATTAAGATATTCCTGATTTTATGATGGCAGATATCTGGCACCTGGAAAAAGTTATTTTAATCATCTCATGTGGTTGTATTATAATGCAGTTGATCATACCGAACTCTTATATAACATCTAGGTTTGGGTAGGACTCTCCTGACAGAAATTTCAGTACATGAGTGAATTGAGTGTGTGTAAGTGCAAAGCATCTGGATCTGTTGCGTTGACTTGACACAGTTACTCAGGGCAGACCTAGAAACCTTCCTCCACAGCTGTGTGTCTGCAAGAGGTTTCAGTGCTCACTAGGGTGATTCCTGGGAAGGTTTTAGAGAAGAGCCTGGTTGTCTGGTACTTTGATTAGGTCTCTTGTGCTTTTGCATGACACTGCGGCTGCAGCCCTTAACTGGTTTGATAATCTTGATTAAAGTACATTTGTGGCCTTCTGCAGGTAGATGAGTGTTCACGTATCATCAGTTAGAAATTGTGTGCCTGTAGTTGCTGCAACAGAGAATTTGAGTAGATAAAACTTTGGTATAGGTATATTAGGTAGCAACAAGCTGATTCTCTGCAGTGTTTGCATGAGCCATCTACTGCTGGCATCTCTGTGATTGGGGAATGAATAGCTTTCTAGACAAGATTTTAGTCAAATTCAGGGGATTTCAGACAATTTATGAGGAGCATGAGGGCAGCACTGCCTTGTACCTTATTCTGTGTTAGTTCATCAAAGAGAAGTATTCTGTCTGTCTTCAAGGATTTTTATAAAAAGCTGTGTTTCATTGGAGTTACAGAGGATACACAAATACTTAAAATGTTTCTATCTATATGTAAGTTGGAGGAATGTCAAGGCACAGTATTTAGAAATGCACCTGAGTGAACCTTAAAATTATGGGAGTTACTGTGAAAATGAGTTACTCCTGTATCAAGGAAAACTATTTAGCATGGACTAGGATGCTAGAACTTAGATTGAGATTTCTTTTCTTTTTAAGGCATCCTCAATTTATTCAGTTATACTCAAGTATGATATCTCTTTATAGAGAAGCTCTTGGAGTGGATCAGCCAGAAAAATCTTAATATTCCTTGTAATGTTTGAAGAACACATAATTAGCGAGTTATATCCTCCAGCATGAGTTCAAAGATAGACTTGTTGTTAGCTGTTGACTTTGGCTGGAAAGTTGCCTAGAGGAAAAGTAAATCTGTCAGGTACTCTATCATTGTTATGAAAATGGTCCTAATCACCTTTCTTTATTAAAAAGTTTTCATTTACGTGGTCGGGATGAGAACATCAAAGAAGTTTAGTAAACTTCAAGGAGGATTTTCAAAAACCTACTTCTGTGTTTCAGTGGATTTTAAGAATATTTGGGTGCAAGTATGGTACTAACTGAATTTACAGTTCCAAGGCTATGCTGTAGATGACTGAATGGTCTAGTTTAAAAAAAAAAAAAAAGTGGGGG